GCCCCCTCCCCCCCCCCCCCCCGCTTCAGTTTGAAAAATTGACTATGGCAGCCTACAAATTCTGTACTCTGTACAGAACTGAAATTAGAGTTCAAGTCTAAGCGCCTGGCGCTGTGCAGCAATTCTAGTGTATCTGGTTACTGATCATGTCTGAGAAGGGGTGGCATAAATCCATAGGACTTTAGAGAGCTACTGAAGAGAAGAACAGGAAATTAATCAAGAGAAACAGAGGGGAGGGCAGAATTACCATCTAAGGGGAGCAATTGCTCATTGGAGATTTTAACAAGTAGCAAAAGTAAAAGATACAAGCTATTTTTACTTTGTGTAACCTTCCCAGTTAGGTTAGTGGAAGATCCAGAGAGGGTTAAGTTTATGATTTCAGAACTTCATCTTTTAGTCAGGCAGTAGGGCATTTTGCCATTTCTTCCATGAATTGGAAAATCCTTTTCTGCTGTTGATTTTTATGGGCACTTGAGTTGATATAAAAGCTTACCCTGCCTCAGTTGTGGGCTGTAGTCTTTCTTGTGCTGCCTTGGACTCTGAACTAATTTAGTTTCCTAAAACAAAAATGTTCCTTTTTTCACTCTTGGAATACTTTTCTTCTGTTTAATTGACTAAATTGGCTCAGTGAAGAGCACTAGAGCTGGCACAAGAGAATAGGGAGAAACCCTTACTATTTTGACAATGGTAAGCCACTCATTGGCACTCTGTCTTGTGAAACAGTAATGTTATAAGCCAGGGATGAAAGCTAAATTTTGGCATGGAGAGCTCCAGCTCAGGGAGGAAAACATTCTAAATACTCTGATGCATTTTAGTAAAAAGTTGGGAGTATTTTGTCATGTCTATTTTCTTGTCTCCTCCTGCCTCTTGCTTTTCATGTTTGTTGGTTTGTTGTTTTGGTTTTTTTTCAATTTGCTTCTCACATGTTCTTCCACCTTCTTTTAATTCCTCTCTTTACTCATGATTTTCCAGTTGTCTGACACACGAACTAGTCCATCCCTCTTGATTTGAGGGACAAAAGAAATTGTCCCAAATCAATTCCACAGTCACCCAAGGTGCTGAAGTAGTTCTACCTTTTTATTGCGTTATTTGTAGGTTTGTGTTGCTTTTTAACAAACGTGTTGAAATACATAGTGTTTGGAAGTGCATATATGTGAGATAAAATTATTGATGCCCTTTTGGGAAAGGGTTCTGGTATAAGGCCTTGCTGCCTTTGTTTATTTTCCAGACTGGGGAGCTGAGGACAAAGATGAGCCAATCTCATGAAGACAGTTTAACAAGCGTGGCCTGGAATCCTGATGGGAAGCGTTTTGTAACAGGAGGTCAGCGTGGACAGTTCTATCAGTGTGTAAGTTCTCTGTTTCTGTCCCATTGAAAACAAAGCAAGAAATGAAAGTGTTTTGTCACTGTCAAAACTGAGGTTCACGTTTTTTTCAGTTTTTTCATGTGTGTGTATGCTCAAGCTTCTGATCCTTTGTAATTCCAAGAAGCAATACATTAATGCTAGTATTTCAGCAGCACCTTTGCATGTAGCAGTTAGAAGGGTTCAAGCATCTTTTGTCTGCCTAAAGGAGGATTTGTGGTCTGGGAATTTTTTTTTTTCCTAGCTGCTCTAGAAAATACATTAATAAAAAAGTAGTGCCTTTGTCCACAAATGCTGTTTATTCCGCAGAATTTTGACTAGGTCTTAATTTTTGCATGCTGTCTTTGCTCAGTGTGAACAGAAATTTGAAACCCTCATTGCTTGATTAGTGTTGATTTTGGGTGGTGGTCCACAGTCTCGCCCTGCTCTTGATTATTTGTCATCTGGATTGGTGCCCAGAATAATAGTGCAGTATGCAAACATCACTCACTGCAAAGGTGAGCTCTGTGACATGACGTACATTGCACATTTCACGCCCGAGAAAATAAATGACAAAAGGGATTCTTAGCTCTCCGGGAGAGATACCTAAAAAAGCCCTCGGTTAAGACAACCAACTCCTATTACATTAAGGCCTCTCTTTTACAAGGTAAGATTGCTTTCTGTAGCAATCATCTGAACGGAAGGTGAAAAAGGTACTTGTGTGACAACTCCTCAGAAATCTGAGACTAACAGTTCAATTTCTTTATTTTTTTTTTTCCTTTTCTCTCATTAGGATTTAGATGGTAATCTCCTTGACTCCTGGGAAGGGGTGAGAGTACAATGCCTTTGGTGCTTGAGTGATGGGAAAACTGTTCTAGCATCGGACACACACCAGCGAATTCGGGGTTATAACTTTGAGGATCTTACAGACAGGAACATGTAACTACCTCTTTCTTTGGTTTTGAATTCCTGGTTCTTACTGTGAGAAGATGATTGAGGAAGAGTTTGTGGGGTAGGATGAGAAATAAGTTATTAATATGGTACCAGAATTAAAAGACGAGGAGGATAATATGGGACAAGAATTAGTGAGTTCCAGTCGCAACAAGAAGCATTAGATCAAGTATTAGAAATAACTTTGTGAGCACTGGAGTAGGTTTCTGGTAGATGTTTTGATGTCTTCAGGAGTTGTCGTCTTCTCAATACCTGGCATATCTTAGTAGATCCTGCCTTGAAGTTAGATGGATTTGAGGTCTGAAGTCCCTTTTGGTCTTGGGATTTGTCATAAGTATAAGCAAGCTATTATAGACCTGGCTTGTACCAATATATAGAGACATACCTAATTTCAAATTCAGAACTGTCTTTCCTTGACAATATTGCAGAGACAGGACATGCCTTTTGTCTTGGTGTTGTATCGTTATTTGGTTAAGTGTACTTTTAACACTGATGTGTCTTACCATTTCAGAGTACAAGAAGATCACCCTATTATGTCGTTTACTATTTCAAAAAATGGCCGTTTAGCTTTGTTAAATGTAGCAACTCAGGTGAGTTGGTGATTATAAATGGAAATGCAAATAAATCTGCTTGCAACTGCTACCTGTTTTTAAGTATTTTGATGGGAGTTGGAATGTTTGATATTAATCAGTTGTATTTCAGGTAATACAAAGGCCTTAATATTCATAAATACAGCATGACCTTCTCTGACAAGAAGGCAATCTTAATCTTGAGACTGATTTTTTTTTTTTGGTTTTGTTTACTGATTTAGATTCAAGTTGATACTATGAACTACATACTATTAAATGTTAATCTCTGGCTACTGTGTTGAAAAGCCAGGTTCAGCAATAATTGTGGCAGGTTGACATGTCTGGGGTGTGAGAATTAGATTTTATTTATTTCTGGTTTTGGAACGTTGGGTAAGAATAGGAGCTTTCAGAATGGAAGGGACCACAGACTGGAAGTTTAATCTAGTAATTTGGTGTATCTTTACTCTCTTGATCTAGTAACAGTACTGAAGTTGGCTGAAGTAATATACTTTCATTATGGTGTGTTTTTTGTTTGTTTCAAAAGAATGGAATGGATAATGTTTAATGATAAAATAACAACATTCTTTATACTTCTTATTCCCAGGGAGTTCACTTATGGGACTTACAAGACAGAGTTTTAGTGAGAAAGTATCAAGGAGTTACACAAGGATTTTACACAATTCACTCATGTTTCGGAGGTCATAATGAAGACTTCATTGCGAGTGGCAGTGAAGGTAATGTTATTTCCTTTTGTGCAGAAAACTGGAACACTGTATCCTTACTATACCTTACTCTTATAATGTTGTTAGCAACTGTCATCTATAAAAGCAAGCAACTGATTCATTAATAAGTTTGAGGAGCACTGAGATTGTGGCATATTTGAAGATATAATTGTGTGCTAGCAGAAAGGATCTTTTGAGAGGATGGTAGTAGTAGAAAGCATTAATGACTCTTTTGTGTTGCTCCTTTAAAGCAAAAGCATCTGCACAGTTTTAATTAGAAGTGGGTGGGGTGTTCTTGAGGCTTTTTCTTTTTGTGGTATGATACTTAGGCTTATGGTTTGCATCAAAAATACTTCTGGGGAGTAGCAGCTTCATTTGCCTGTTGAAGATACAGGTGTGGTGAAGTTATTTTAATTTCAATAGAGTCATCTTAATTATGGATGGAGTACTCTCAAATTAAGCAGTTGTTGACATAGTCTGTTAGGGTTTCTTGGTGATCAAAGGCTTTGTGGTATGTTTTTATTCAACTGCCTGTGGCAGGAATAGAAATTAGTTAATGGTTTGTACCTTGAATTGGTTCAGTTCTGTCACTGATGTAGTGCCATCACCTCCCACGGAGGTCACTTAAGATTCAAGCCTATGCAGGGCTAAGAATTAAAGTAAGCAGTCACTGTTAGTACTATGTAACTCACAGCTGTTAGGAAATAAGGTTGGCCAGGACATTTACTACTATCCTTTTCTGGAACATACCAAATATGTCTAAAATAAAACCAAATTTCACCCTCTGACCAGACCAAGTGGAATATAATGACTGAAGGACAGCAACTGCAGTCCTCCAATCCAGCGTGAATTTCTTTTCATGGTTGAACAAGGGTCTTGGTTTGAGACCCAACCACCCGAAAGTTCAGGATTTGTGTTGAGCTATACTGATGTGTGTGTGTGTAGGTGTACATACTACAGTGCACCATACTTTTTCCCCCTATTTATTTATTATTTATTATATTCATTGTCTAAAATCTACTGAGCAGTATTTGAAACTGATGGCACTTTATTTAGATTTGGACTGTCTGAAGCTGTTGCCTCTTTGCACTGAATTGCTGCAAATGTGGCTACTGAGAATGTCTATGTATTTCAGAAGACAAGCAAACAAAGCAAAAATAATAGATTGCATTGTCATAGCCTTTTAAAAAAAAAAGTAATAAATTGATTACATTGTCATAACCTCTTAAACTTAAGGTGTGTTGTCAGCTAGGTAGGCTCTTTTCTAACACTTGTATCAGTAGGAAGAAAATGGAGGTCTATTCTGAGAGGGAAGTTGACTGCTGCCTTAAGCTGGCTAATTTGTTTTTTCCAAAACAAAATACAGGCATTCTGACAAGCACCAAAATACTGGTTTGTGTTTAGGCTTTGATACTCCCAGACAGCAGAGGCTTGTGTGTCCAGTGTTTAAGCAGAGAGTGAATTGTGTTGTTTGATGAATAGCATGGATATATAGTCTCTTGAAACCGTAAGCAGAATGTAAACACAATCAGAAAATTTGCATCAATACAAGTATACATAAAGGTGGTATACTCAAATGAGCTGATTCAGCAGAAGGCAATTGAGTTATCACATGGTTCTGTGATGCTATTCTAGCAGGTAGGTCAGAGAGCAAGTTTGTTTTGTAAGGGGTTGGGAGGAGGAATAGAGGAAGATTGGTTTGTTTGCTAAGCCTTTAGAATGACATCTACATTAAAACCTTTTCAAATAATTAAAAGACTTTCATTTGATGTGCTAGACCTAAGGCTTTTGTGTAATACTAGTAATACATACTTGTTTGGTTTATATAGCTCTGGAATATTCCAAAGACATTCCTAGAGAGGTCAACCCACAGACTTGTTAAAAGCTGCTAGTCTCCAGTTGGGGAAAAAAACAAAAGAAAACAAAAACTACCTTTAGTAATTTATTCTTAAATATGGTTGGTTATAAAGCAGTAATACTTCTCTAAAAATTGCAGTGGAGTGTCTGACCAATTCACTGTTCTATTTCTAGCATGTTGCTAGAAGTAATTAAAAGTTTCCCATCACAAAATAAGATCTGTAGCATTGTTTATTGCATCTACTTTAATATGTACAAATTCAGATCTTTACCACACAAGAATTACTTTTTGTCAAAGACAGTAATGGCTCACAATTTGACACATCAAGGTTTGTTGCTCTTCCTCCTTTGCTCTGTTTGCACTTTCACTGGAATGTTTTAGGTCTCTAGTATCAAGATACATTTAATAAACTATAGAAGAGTAACTTGGTTTCTCTCTTTAGCCATGTCTTGGCTTATTTGTGTTGTAGTCTGTGGGGCTCTCCTTTCATGTGAGGCACGGACGACTCAGCACACCAATATGATGATCAGAGAAGTTGTTTATTAATCAGAAGGCTACACCTTATATTATGTTTTCTACTTCTATACATTCTCTTGCTCAAGCTCTGATTGCTTACAAGTACTGTTCATAAGACTGTCACGCTTTTTAGAAAAGATTCAGATAGGCGCTTATACTATGCGTAACTTCTGCATAAATTAGACACAAGCTCTTTGTCTCACCTTGTTACTATGATTTTATTTCTTAATTTTATCTATCTCCGGTTCCCCTAGTATCCATCTCTTGTTCCACAAGCTTGCTACTTTGTATAACTCTCTGCATTTTTCCCACATCTTTTTACATTCTCAAAATGTCCTCCAGCTCATTGCTAACATAAAATGATCCTACAGTACTCAAATGTTTTTCTTCAAATACCAAGCGTAGTAGACTTGCAAGTGTTAAAAGGGAATCTGCCTCTTAGTGGAAGAGCTTTACCCATATTCTTTTGATTGCTTTTAGGAAAAAAGTTAGTGCTATTGCACAACAGATGTGGGTTTTACAAAGTTAATTGGTTTTTTAGTTGCTGAGAGCTTGTGTGGAAGTGTTATTTGACATAACAAATCAGTCTGTGCAGAATAATGTTTCTCATTATGTTTTTTTAAATGTGTATTTTATGTAGATCATAAAGTATATATTTGGCACAAGCGTAGTGAGCTGCCAATTGCGGAGCTGACAGGGCACACACGTACTGTTAATTGTGTGAGCTGGAACCCGCAGATTCCATCCATGATGGCCAGCGCCTCTGATGATGGCACTGTTAGAATATGGGGACCAGCGCCTTTTGTAGACAACCAGGATATTGAAGGTAAAAACCACTCTGTGTGTGTGTGTGTGTTCTCTAATCACTAAAAGCTTACAGCAAAGGCAGCTGGTTCGGTGGATTTTCTTAACCATAAATAGGATAGAAAAATGCTTTTAAGTCTTGGTTTACAATCATTACTTTTACTAAAAAAGTTGCTTTTTTTTAATGTATGGCTATTGACTTTTATCTAAGTTATTTATGTTTGTGGAATAAAAAGGAAACAACTGGTGTTTCCAAAATGATACTCAAATTTCTGAAATGGCCCTGTAGAAAACTCTGGGATCACTAAGACCTCAGGATTATATTAATTTGTTTATGTAGACTTTTAAAAAATCTTGCTTCCAATGCTTGAGGCTTAATAACATACAAAGTTATTAAAATTTAAATAATGCATTCTGACCACACTGCAAGTCGAATAATGGTATTACAATGCTTATGAAAGGAATCTCCAAAGTCTGGAAAGAGTGCAGTTTCCCACCATAAAATCTGTACACAATTGATTCTTTTCCTAACCATTAGCAATCACCTGTGTCCAGGAGAGACACACAACGCAACTTTTTTTGCTGCCAAAATGCACACTTGTTCCCAACCCTTCTTACCTACCCCCTAGAATTGTTAAGGAGATGACCACCAGGGAGTTGTTCTGCAGTTTATAGGCTTCTGTCAGTACGCATTCAGCCTTGTGGTAAAAATTTACAGTAGATGTTAAAATGAAATACAGTATATCCCATTGCCACAGGACCTCTTGGGTACTAGGTGTGGACACGAGTTCAAGGGGAAACCTGGACCAAGTAATAAAAGAGAAATCCATTGCATGCTACTAGATAAGTAAACACCTGTAGTTAAGAACGTCCCGTAGGTGAAAACGGCTGAAAGTTGGAAGGATATTAGGAGGAAGAATTACCTCCTCTCCCTGCCTCTGTGCTTTCTGACACATCTGCTTCTGGTCTTGGACTAGGTGGACCAGCCTGCCCAATCTCCTGTTTGTAACACCTTGAATGCACCCATAAGGACTCAGAGCCTACCCTCCAGTTGGTTTTACTCATGGTTTTGTTTGTTTGTTTTCTCCAATTAGCTGCTTGCTTGCTCCTTCTTAGTTCCTCCAGAAAATGAGCTAGTAAATGCCGTAAGAATCAAAACAATAGAAAATGGATTTCTCACAGCAGTGCTTCCACAAGAGGTGTAGGTGCACAGAATAATACCTAACAACTTAGGAATCTTAAATGGATGATAGACAGCTTTGTAATTAGCACACTCCCTTGGAACTTGAGTGCAAATGTGTGTTACCTCCTTTTGGAAGAGATGCTTTTGTGTACCAACCTCTAACATGCTAAATTAATCTCCAAATTAATATGAATAATGAGATCTAAAATAAGTAACTTTTAGCATGGGATTTAACTGCAGTATAAGATCTATTAACTAATGCATGTTCAGTAAAACTTACGTAAATACACTGTATTTATGACCTTGTAATAGAAATACTAACTGTTGATAAGATCTTCAAGATGTGATTTCTTTCTCTTATGTTTTTGTTTTTGCTCAGAGGAATGCAGTAGCATGGATAGTTGATGGCGAATTTGGAGCAGACGACTTCAGTTTAACTTAATTAGTCGTATTTTAAATGGCTTGGGATTTGGTGCAAACAAACATGATTGATAGCTGGACAGACATGCTCGTCATGAAAAAGAACCATTTCTGAAGCCCGGTTGGGGCCAAACATTTACCACCTTGCTTCATAGTAATCAGTCGAGATGAAGCACGTCGTTAGAACGTTGTTGGACACCGTGTTGAAATTACCCCCCCATCGGTTGTGAAGAACTGTGCTACATTCAGGCTAACCATTGAACTCAGTATATATATTTTTCCCTCCTGCCTTTTTGTCTGGCAGGCTACTGTTCTTGTTGCTCTTCTGTGTAATGAAGTTTAAATGCTTGTTTGGAACACTTTATTTAACAGTTTAGAAGGCTTGATAGAAAGAGTGCTTTAGTCTGAAGAGTATACATTGGATAGGAAAGTACTTCCTTCTCTTGTTTCTCAAGTCTCTCTCCGCCTTACTTAGCTTGAGATCTTTGCAGCTTGGTTCATGGATTCTAGCCTTGCCCGTTGTGCAGTATATATAAATTGAGATGATAAACCAATGAACTATGTCAAAAGCACTCTCAGTATCACATTTGACAAAAAGTTTTGTACTTTTCACATAGCTTGTTGCCCTGCAAAGGGGTTAACAGCACAATTTTTTTAAAAATAAATTATTTATAGGATTAAAATGACTTCATTTGTATACATTTGGAATTAAAACAATGCAAGAAGTGTCGTGAAACACGGTATCACTGATGCTTTTCCCGAGTGTGTTAAGACCCAATCAAAAGCAGTGGCTGGAAGGAGCTTTACATAGGCAGTGAAGCTTGTTTTAGATGGAGGAACTCACTGTCCATCTTAACAGATAAACTGTAGTATTTAGGAAAAAAAAGTGTTCAGAGTGCACCACCAGACTAAGAGTTTAAACAAGACGAGGTCTTTTTGGTTTTTTTAATTACATAAATATATGCAACGATGCTGGTATAAAAGGTAGACTACACCTTGAGGGAAGAATATGTTGAAAGAGTCCTTTCTTCACAAAGTCAACATTTTGTAAAAGTAATTAACTTACAGATCATAATTAAACACTTGTATTACAATGGAAATTTTTCTTTATTTGATAAACAAAGGTGTATAGTTTTTCTTTTTGAGAATATACGTTTAAGTTTGCAGATTTAATTGCCTCTCCCAGACCTTGTTGCAAGCCGGTGCTGTGAACATCTTGACACATCTAGGAATAGTTCCACTAATGTCCCACATCAAGAAAAGAGAAAGACATTTATAATTTAACTATTTATTCTTTTTGACGTAAACAGATGGCCTGGTATCTTTGCTTCTGCACTACACACAAATTCATTATGGGATGGCACTGGATTCCATTTTGCCACCTTGGGTGGAAAGGTAGTGTTGGTACTGCTGTGAAGTAAAGAGGGAGCAGGGAAAGGCACGCCAATGAGAATTGATGTGAACAGAAGTGTGGACTTCATCCTTTAATGAGATAATGATCTAATGTCCTTATTAGTCATGTGTGGAAGAAGGGTGGGGGAAGGTTTGCTGGAGTTCCTGGGAAGAGAAGCATAGCCACTTGGATGAATGGGAATGTGGTGTTTAACATAAACAGTCCCTCTTTTCTTTCCCAGAAAAACAAAATGAAGCTTAGCAGGTTAGATTTTTTTATTATGACAACCATTAGGTGGTGAATTTTTTCTTTCTTGCTTTGTGTGTAAATTTAAACTTGATTTAGGATTCTGATACTTTGGTTGAGACCAGCCCTGAATCTGACATACTCCTCTTTTAGTACCTTTGAAATGAATTAGGAACTTAATGTTCTTATCTTCAATCTAGTACATCTGTCATAAAATTCAGGTGAATTTCTTTGATAGCAATTACTGTTCCACAGTACTGGGAATACACATGCAAACTGAAGACTACAAATTGGTTCCTTCTTCCATTAGCTAGGTCTGGAGGAAGCTGTTTGTTTCTCTTCCTAGTTCAGACAGTGTCAGTTGTCAGTCTTGTTCCTGTGGCATCAGTCTTGGAGGGAAACAGACAACTTCCTAAGGTCAAATCTGAGTAAGCTAAACCTTTGGCTTTTAAGTAAAAATTGAATACCTAAACTGTAAACGATGTTCAGAACATGGTATAATTCATAAGCAATGGAAGTTACCCTAGTATTGTCTTACTATGGAACTTAGGTTTTTCGAACAAAGCATTATTTAGGGAGAATAAGGAGAATACTCCTGGTTTTGCTGTCTCTTAACAATGTCTCATACAATGTTCTGGTGCTACTTGCTTATCTCACTCGTGGGACTGAAGAGGGAACTTTAGGCAGGTGGTGAAGGCTGGATCAAATCTCAAGATTAGATTTAAAGTCTGACATGCACTTCAGCAGGCATTTTTAACGTGGTAGCCATAACTAAACAAAGTGAGGCTCCTTGCCTGGTACAAGCTGTGTGTGGGTGTGTATGGGCTGACGCCTACTTCCCACTGCAATGCACTGTAATTAGAAATTTAAACTTAGTACTTTTGCCAGAGTACTGCTCCTCCATTCTGGGGTTTCTCTTCTGGACTTGGTTTGTACCTCTAAAATACACTTCAGGTATTGACAAGCAGAGTTAGGGAGAAGCATGTGTTCTCCTATCTCCACTTTAGTTCCGTGGTGCAACTATGCAATGTAAAGGAAAGCTCCATATAGATGGCACTGCTTCCAGAGTGTCTCAGTAACAGTGTATTGCATAGCTGTCTGCTGCTCACAGGGGATGAGCGGAGGTGAGAAAGGTGAGAGTAATCTTCATTTTGCTACACTACTTGGTCCCACAGTAAACTGACATTATAGATCTAGCGGTAATGACTACCACTCCAACCTGTAGATTAAAGAGGAACTTAAACTATTTCTAACATGTTACATATTCACAATATGTGAATTGAAAAGTACCAATACTTTTTGTGCAGAGACTATAAAATGAGACCATGGGGGGAAAAAACAAATAAGTTTGCTCATTTGCAACACATTGATTTCCATGTGCTTAAAAATGTTCATAGGCTGGAGTCCAAGACTGGAACAAGTATGCACCCGCAATAAATTACTGTGTTTCTAGTCAACAGACCTGTGGTTTTAGAGAGGAAAATACTGCAAGCCTGTACTCCTTTTGTAACTTTCTCTGGTCAGCTGTTGGCTTAAAATGCTCACAGTAGCCTCAGGTTATTGTCAAGGCAGATCTTTAAAAAAAAAAAAAATCATGCTGAAGCATTTTATTATCTGAATGTTCTTAAGCTGTTCAGGTAAGTAATTTTCAAGGCACAATGGAGCACAAAAGGGAACATGCTAGATCTGTCCTTGTTTTGGAGGGGAGGGTAGTGGGGGGACATGACACTTTCATTTTTAAATTCCCTCCGTCTTTTCTAAAGTTCTCCAACTTTAAAGTTAACTACTTATGATTAGAGCAAAGATGCAAGCTAGAAATCTATCCCGATCTTGCTCGTTACTTCTCAACTTGGCCTCAAACAGGTAACGTTTACCAAAACTCAGTATGTTGTTGGGAGTTTGCATCTAGTTGTGTACTTTTACACTGTTAAGTGATACTCCCACCCAAAATCAGTTTTGAAGGCTTCCTTAGCAGGAAACCAGGACTTGTACAAGTAGCTGTAGTTTGAGGGGAGATGTTGTAGACCCAAATGGGAAGGGAAGTAAAGAGGAATGGACATAAAAAGCAGGATTTACTGACCAACAGACAAACTACTGTAACTCAAGGGGGAGGAGGAAAAATGCACTTTCAATGGTTTGTCCATATTTTTAGCTACCAAATACACTTGTATCTAACTTCTTTTTGAGACAACTGTTACGAGGAACACCCATCCCATAAATAGCTAATGCTCCTTTTGACCTCCTCCTGTCTTTTCCACATTGGCTTGAGTCCGTTTTCAGCTGCCGTACTTAATTTTGAAAACTGCTAGCTTGAATGATGTTTAAAAAGAAGGAAAAAAAAAAAATTATTAACTCTGACACTTTTTTTTAAACAGGGTGGACTTAATTGAAGTGTGCAGTGTTGAACTACTGCTGCAGTAGCTGCCTCTAGTTGTTGAAATAAACTGTAGACAAGTTTTCTGTCTATTAATCCAGATAATCTGGATTCAGTAAAACATCCGTGAGAGTGTTCCTCCCGCCTGGTGTGAATGTGTGTGCGCATGTGTTCCATGAACAGACAGAGAACCAAATGTTCTAGGTACTTGTCATGTTTTATTGCATACTTTAAGTCGTGTGTATGTGAAGTGTCCTTTGACCGGAAGGTTTTGGTTAATACCAGTATATTTTTATAAATTTGAAATTCATTGTGCCCCATCTTTTTTCTTAAACGTTTTTCATCATTAGGGTATATGTGCTAGATTTGAATCTTAACATTTTTAGGCACAGATGGAAAAAGTTATTGGCTCCTTGAAAACATATGGGACAAAATGGATCCTCAAAGCATGTATGTACTTACAAACCAAGCTGTAGAGATCAAGAAAAGAACTTTATTGTTGATCTCAAGATTTCTAAATTGTCAAGATTTATATGGAGTTGTGGTGGAACTAGTTAACACTTAGAGCTTTTGGTATGTAATGACTATTTGCTATGGACTGATATTAAATGTTTCAAAGGATTGCGTTCTTAAACTTTCTGGATTTTTGTTACTCTCCTTGGATTATATTAAGTAGTTAAAAATTTCTTTGCTATATTACATTAAAAACATAAGAACTTTGGGTCTCGTATTTATTTTCACTTGTTTTACTAATTATTTACAGAACACCATTTTAACTTTTTTATTTTATAAATGTGTAGTATTTTAAACATATCTTTAAAAAGTGTTCAATTGGAACTACATTAACTTCTGATTTGTTTTTATTAGGATTTTTAAAATAAAAAATACACTTTTTCCATGTTGGTGCACAGCACTTAACAGAAATGTTTGTATTCCCTTTCTTTCAATTCAATAAACAGAATAAATAACTGGAATGAATAGTTCTTAGTTTCCCTAACTTCACTTATATGACTGACTTGGATGTTAATTTCTTGATCATTAATTACAGATTTCTGTAGTATTTGTAGTATTTCACTTCCTCACTAGGAAAATTAATTTGTGGCAGTTTAGCTGAAGATGAATTCACTCAGTGTTGTGTGCAGGCTTTCCAGTTTTTGATGTTTGGCTCTAATCTACCTCACGCTTGTGTTTTCACTGGACATTTAGCAGTCGACTTGCCTGCGTCCCATTCTGTCCTTATCTAACACGTTGAACGTCTGCTCCTTTGGGGCTCCATGAAAGCCGTGATTCCTTAATGCTGGAGCTTGCTTAAATACCAGACATAGGTTGCTTTAGGTGATCAGTGGGTTTTGTGGGGTTTCTTGATATTTTGTATTAAGAAGGTGCCCCTAAAGTACTTGCATCTCCTGCTTAGACTTTTCTTAAACTGGAGATGGGGGACCTCCAGACTTCTATCTGAAGTCAACCTAAGCAGATCTTGTGGCTGAGAGCTCTTGAAGCTGCTTCTCAACTGTTACCTTTGTTCCCTCCAGCTAACTCTGTGTCCTTGTCCCTCTTCCCTGTGCTTTAGAACCTCGTCTTTGTCCCTCATTTTAGGCATTTTTATTCAGCTCTAGCTAATGTTCTGTTAAATAAAAAGCTGTGCCAAATTTGCCCTCCCCTTCCTGTAGCTTTTCCAAACTCAAAACTTTTGCTGAAATGCATTCAGGTTTTTTTAATTCTCTGAGCTTCTATATTGATTAGAAAAGGTCTTTACTCCCTCTAGTAGCACCTTTCTATTAACTTTATTCACTCCCTTACAGTTTAAGCAGCGTATAGACAATTAAGGCTTCAACGCAGCTGCAAACAGAAGGGGCATGCCTTATTCTTTTCGATGTGCTGCTTTGTGCCACTTCCCATGGGTACTGGTATTTGCGGGAGGGCTGTTAGATTGCAGACCCACTTCAGCTGTAAGTGATCCACACAGCAGGTGAAGGAAGTTAGTTTTCTGCCTAGGTTTGTTCCTGTGCTTCATCTGGTGTCTTATGTCTACCTTTAACTGGTGAGAAGAATGCGAGAGAAACAGGTATATGATTTCTATCGAACTGTAAAATTTCAGCATATGTAAGATTTAAAATTGTAATTTTTTTTAAACCCCTTCAGATTATTTAAAAGAAATTACGTAAAGAACCTGATAGTCGATGAGCATTTCATAATGCCCTGAAGAGTAGCCACTGAGGTTTTGTATGCCTGTAACGTTTCTGCCAAAGATAAGGTGGTTAATTTACTGGTAATTGCATGGTAGTCCATATAGCCCAAATTTTCCTATTGCTACCTCCAATCTCATCATTACCGTATCCTTAGAGGCAAAAATGGTCTTTTCTTAGCACTTGTATAAAATTCTAGAGAGCTTCTTGTGCGAAAAAGAATTGGAATCAAGCTATGCCGATACTGAACACACAAAGATTTACTTTTATGGGCTTATTAGGGTTTCAGGTCGATTCTTAACCTGTGTGCAGAAGTGTTCTTAGGACTACTGGTCATACTATTAATCCCACTGATTTACTATGTTCCATAATACAGAACTACTTTGGAAAATAAAACCCAGTAATCTCTCTGAGAACTGTTGAATGACTACTATCTTAGCAAGCGGACTAGGCTCTAGACTGTGGGTGAGGAAAAGAGCTTAATAACCTTGGTTAAGTTAGAATGCCGGCTTCAGATTTATGTTCAGGGATTAAAAGCTTTCTCTAAATTTTAAGTAATCATTTGAAGGATAAGCTAATGGGTTCCTCATGAAGTTCTATTTGGATACCTCAGTTCCAACGGGAAATATATTCTGGCGAGTGAATCGGAGGGAATCTGTTTGGTCTCATGCTGGTTCATAGTGATAAAGTTAGGTGAATTTTTATTTAAAATCAGTCTAAAGTTTGTGATTGTCTTGAATTCTGTCTATAAGCTTGGATGTAAGTTACCCTGTTCTCCCTTGATGAAGACCCAGAAAATAGGGAGTTTGTTTTAATTTTCACTCCTATAAAATTTCTGTGTTCTGTGGATCTCTCATGAGACCAATGCGTGTAGGATCCCTATTTCCAGCTAAAGAACTACATTTTTAGCAATTATAAATACTTTGTTTCCTATTGCCAACACTGAGCTCTGTGAAGGTCTCTGTTAAGGCAGGAAATGACCCTGTACAGTAAGGAAGGCTTCAAAATTACCAGTGTAACTACTCAGCAGAATTGTAGTCTCTCGAGCCTGCTACTAAGGTTTTTACAACTATTATAATAAGCTGTTAGATATGAATGATCAGGGAATTTATTTATATATAAAAAAAGTGGGGTTGGAGGTTTGCATTCATATAAAAGTATAGCTTGTTTAGTATTTGACAACCACCACTTAGAAATCATACCTGTATGTTTTTGTTGGTCTATCGTGGTTAATAATTCACTCTTGAAGAAAGAAGTGGGGAGGGATCCACAATAACATCCCTCTAGGTCAGGGATATAAATTAAGACATATGCGACCCCCATTTTTATTTTTTTCATCTATGTTCTTTTCCCTTACCTTTCCCTGTCCTGCTCCCATCTCTGAAGAAACACTTCCCTCAGTAGAGGAGAATAGAAGCTTTTCATAATGAGCGATACATTTTACCAATTCTGTTAGGGATGGGTCTAGCCTATTTAATGTCATCACTGGAATTGTGAGGTCTAGCAGTTGGAAATCATTGAAGGCAATGTATCTTTCAAACATTTTTTGTTAATAATAAAGCTCTTATCTCAAAATCATGTCTTCAGAGTAAGATTTAAAACTGCTAGTTTAAGTGGAGGACTTGCAGATTAATGATTGTGATCTTTCTCAGTGTGAAACATCATTAATGAAACTTAACTACTGTTAGCACTACAGCAAGGAATTAACTCAAGCAGCTTACTAACACTGTCCTTTTTTCTAATAGGTAACACCCAAAACATGTGTAGTATGTTTTTTTCACATACAAATAAGAATACTTAATTGCCTACCATATAAGCTGCTACGAAAGTTACTGACTTTCCTCTCTTTTAAAGTTTTATTTGCTCTCCTTTTTAAAGACCTACATACTGTCTGGGTTTCAGCTTTATAAGGCAGTACTTTCTGTAGTTTGTTTTTTGTGGTGTCAAGTAGTCAGTGGCATGCAGCTGGGGTAGCTATTTCCTTAGTTATTTTTTAATGAGCATAATTTTCAGCAGTTTTTCATCTTTGCAACAGCTGAACTTGGACTCCATCCATCATAAATTTAAAGCCAAACTTTTCCTTGAACAAACACTGAACAGAAGGTATCTAGGGAAATCAAGCTTCAGTGTTGTCTTTTCACCACTGGCCATGAAAACAGCTATACACCAAAGAAAAAGTACTTAAGAAGGAAAAGCTCATAAATTGTAGGACTTAATTACAGAACTGTATTTTTGAAGTGTTTCACTTGATGTGTTTGTTTAAAAAAAAAAAACAACTCTTTCCATACACATAAAAATGTTAAAGACAGTTACTGGACAGTGAGGGTACAAACTCGGGTTTATAAGCTTAACACTGTTGCAAGAGCTGCACAAAAAGAACGTTGTTTGCTGGTGTCTTTGAAGCAGAGTCACATCAAGAATGGGGATAACTGGGGTTACGGCTTACCAGACCACCTCCCTGAGCTAGACATACTCACGCTTCACCTCACTGGATATGAAAACAGCAGGTGCCTGTTGTAGTGACTGCGGACAGTCTTTCATGCCGTAACCAAGTGCAACCCTGGTACAATATGATGTCTACTTTGTGTGGAGGTCTATGATGTATTTTGATGACAAAATGGGAGTTGAAGGGAAAAAACAACTAGTAGTATTTATCTGTTTTTCACTCTTACACACAAGTGTTACTTTCACCAAAGGGACGTTAATCCATCCAAACACAAGACTCATACAGGTTGTTGAAGGGAGGGGTGGAGAGGGAGAAAAGCATAACTTTTATTCCATTGCTTTTTAGCTGGAAAAAACACTGACACAAAGATGCAAGTTGTGCTACTGTTCCACTTTGAAATCTGTGTGCCAGGCTCTAATAGGACAGCTTGACAGCCCGAGGCACATCCTGACACCTTTCAGTAAGAAGCGGACATTAGAGCTACACTTAAATTTGTTCTGGAACTACCACTATTATCAGCCCATGCTGCTGAAATGAGTTCCTCTTCTCGCCATTTAATCCCTATGATGTCAGTTCTGTAAGCAAGGATTCCATCTTACAGAAGCAGCAGCTCCAGCAGTTTGGGTTGCAAAGGAACAAAAACAACTGCTACACAAATCCAATGTCTTTTGAAAATATTTTATGTTAAAAATACAGAAAAATATTTCTTGTTCAAAGAGGAAAAATATACTGCATGATGACACTGATCTAGGTATGCTCAGAAGGTGTCTGTGGCTCCACCACCAGTCACTGGAGTGATGACCAAATTTGGCAGCTAATGGTTCTTTTTCAACTTCTCAATCATTTATCAAAGCCAGAATCATACTGTGACAAAACAGAAAACATGATACCAGTGGATTACTGAGGCATGTGCAAGTACAAATAGCTATCGCTTTCATGGGAGAACTGCACTTGATTCTGAAATAGAAAGTCAGGGCAACTACGCTATGTGCGTTGCTTATGAAGAGAAGGACTGCAGAAGTAGTACTGCAGTAGAAGAACAGTAGTTCTTCCATCTTGTGGTAAGTGGCCCCATCACAGAACTCATCTGTTTGTAACTTAGCCAGATCAACTTTTATTTTACAAGTTCTGTTTTAGAAAATAACTTGGTCCTCAAGGTTATTTCCATTCTAAATAGCCCACTTTTATTCTAGGTGCTGAAATCATGTAACTCTTTATATTGTACTTAGAGTGGTTTTGAGATTAAGGAGTAGTCTGAGTTTCCAAACAATGTTTGATCAGAAAACATAAAGGCATAGAACGAGCCCGCAGATAGCTGTCAAAATATATTATTGAGGTTTAGCAGGATGTAAAAAGATAATACATGAATACCAGCAATTATACTAGCAGAATAGGAAATAAAAATAGCTGGCAGACAATTCCTTTGTTCCTTAGGAGTAATTTTTGAAACTAACCTGTAAAGGTACATGAAGAAACAGAGCAGATGAAAGCCTAGTTTAATCATGGCTTCCTTCATGTGTGATTTCAGTTGTCCTCGGTTATGGATCTCCGTGGGATCAAATACCCCCATGTTTCCACTTGGCACCATAATGTACCTGAAAGTTTAAGAAAAAAAACCAAACACACAAGTATAGTCATCAAAGCATTAGGGAGAGCTTGCACAGAAGGGACTGTCACCTAAAGAGTGGTTTCACAATTCAACATAAGGGAACTCTTTTTAAATTTTATTTCAGTTTGAGGATATTGCATGTATCTGCCACTACAACCCACAAACAAAGAATAAGAGGACAAGAAGTATTAAAAGCATCAGCCCAGCTTCCCATGTATAAATGGGAGAGTTTCCAGGTAATAGCTGATTCCAGTTCATTTTAATTGCTGTTCACCGTTACTTGGTGTTATGAAGGAAGCGTCCGCCCACAGTGGAAAGATGCATTAGATGAAAGGGACTGGAGAAGAATTAATTTAGCTAAGAATTAGCTATTTATTTAGAACTTATTAGAATTTATTTACCAAAAACCACCACATAGATAATCACAAACTCCACTGGTCATAATGTGGCAGCATAAGACAAGACAAAGGATCTGTGTATTATTCCCATCTTTGTCACAACCCTCCTGGGTTACCTCAGCAGACACCGGCTTGACAGGATGACAGACCGAGCAGAACTGAAGAAGTTAAGTGCTGCTGTCCGAACCCACACAAGAACAAAAGTTGAGTGAAACAAAGCGAAATATAAGCAAAAAGAAGAATAAAACCAGCAAAACAAATATTTGTGTCCTGTGAAAATTCAAAAAGCAGCATGTTCTTTTGTCATAAGCATTTCTCAAGAGAGCAAATGCAAGCACATGAAGTTCTCACTCCAGCTAAGCTCAGTCTAGAACAGTAGTATTATTTCACTTAAATGTCACACAGGCTCCGCCTTCGTGGAATAATACTCTTTCTACACAGGAATTTAACTTCTCATCTTACACCTGGAGAAAAAGCAGGTGTTGGATTTTCTTTATATACTCAAAGAACAGCACCACTTGTACTCCAACAGGCACTCCCCCACCTCTTACAACATTCATTTCAACAATACAAGGGGAAGGAAGGGAACAAGAAACAAGGATGTTTTCTAGCAGCAGCAG